AAAAAACAATTTTTTGAAGAACGTTTCAGTGCTTTCATGATAACGTTCGATTTGTAGTTTAAAGCTTCGTTCATAATTAAAGAGTTTTCAATAGAATGTGATACCGTGTTTGCATTTACGTTTTAAAGCAATGACCTGAATAAGCTGATTAAAAGGTGTATGGGATTTCAGAAAACGTCCTATGCTGTTTCGATCTGCGTTTTCGACGTTGGTAGGTAGGATTCTGAAGAAGGTTTAGAACCAAAACGGCAGATACATTTGACAAGAGGTAAGAATATTCGTATCTTTTTGTTAGGGAAAATATAGTTTTAAAAAAACAAGGTACCATGTTTTAAAATAAACTTATTATATTCCAAGCCTTCGTTTTGGAAACACAAATCTTTTAATCTCTGACCAGTTAATATCACAACATGAAATACACGTACGTTTCATTTTTCCCTCAAAAGTCATGAAACATTTTTAGGATCAGTAACATACGAACGTTTCCAGCTTCCGCCGTAAGATATCAGACTGTACATTTCGCCAAATGTTTTCGTTTATTTAAAATTCCGTAGGAGACAAAATGAGAACACTCAAAATGCACTTAACATGGCACTTGATGAGAGATTCTGCTCTGTTATTGTGTTTGCCTAGGCTGCATTTTTTTGTAATTATTAAAGGCAGCTGCTTAGTACTGCCTTTTCATATTCAGCTGAATAGTATTTATTCTTAAATACTTTTTTTTTTATAAAATGAAGACTCATGGTGTTTGTGCTATAATTGCTCAATTGTTATTTATCATGAAACAAGTAAGCAAAGGACTTATCATCTCGGCGAAATAAAAAGAAAAGGATAACTATATTTCCATGGGGTTATCAGCAGGATAAGCNAATCCAAGGACGTATTTTTTTCGTATCTGTTTTTAACGAGTTATTGTCAGCTAAAAAACAATTTTTTGAAGAACGTTTCAGTGCTTTCATGATAACGTTCGATTTGTAGTTTAAAGCTTCCTCCATAATTAAAGAGTTTTCAATAAAATGTGATACCGTGTTTGCATTTACGTTTTAAAGCAACGACCTGAATAAGCTGATTAAAAGGTGTCTGGGATTTCAGAAAACGTCATATGTTGTTTCGATCTGCGTTTTCGACGTAGGTAGGTAGGATTCTGAAGAAGGTTTAGAACCAAAACGGCAGATACATTTGACAAGAGGTAAGAATATTCGTAACTGTTTGTTAGGGAAAATACAGTTTTAAAAAAGCAAGGTACCATGTTTTAAAATAAACTTATTATATTCCAAGCCCTCGTTTTAGAAACACAAATCTTTTAATCTCTGACTAGTTAATATCACAACATGAAATACACGCACGTTTCATTTTTCCCTCAAAAGTCGTGAAACATTTTTAAGATCAGTAACATACGAACGTTTCCAGCTTCCGCCGTAAGATATCAGACTGTGCATTTCGTCAAATGTTTTCGCTTATTTAAAATTCCCTAGGAGACAAAATGAGAACACTCAAAATGCACTTAACATGGCACTTGATAAGGATTCTGCTCTGTTATTGTGTTTGCCTAGGCTGCATTTTTTGTAATTATTAAAGGCAGCTGCTTAGTACTGCCTTTTCATATTCAGCTGAATAGTATTTATTCTGAAATACTTTTTTTTATAAAATGAAGACTCATGGTGTTTGTGCTATAATTGTTCAATTGTTATTTATCATGAAACAAGTAAGCAAATGACTTATCATCTCGGCGAAATAAAAAGAAAAGGATAACTATATTTCCATGGGGTTATCAGCAGGATAAGCCACTTTTGTTTTCAAGAACATATGTATAAAAGCTGGTAAGCTATCTTTGGTTCCAGCTCTACAACCTCTTTTTTGAAAGACCAAACCAAAGAAATGCACGGTATAATGCTGAATTTTGTAATAAGTGTATCATCTTCGAGAAGTGATTGGCTATGCATA